GGACATCGATCAGTTAGAGCAGGTCCAGAGGAGGGCCATGAAAATGGTCTGAGGGCTGGAACACTTCTCCTACGAAGAAAGGCTGAGAGGGTTGGGGTTGTTCAGCCTGGAGAAGAGAAGGCTCCAGGAAGACCTTATTGTGGCCTTTCAATACTTAAAGGGGGCTTGTAAGAAAGATGGAAAGAGACTTTTTACCAAGGCCTGTAGTGACAGTATCATAGAATCATTTAGGTTGGAAAAGACCCTTAAGATCATCGAGTCCAACCGTTAACCTAGCACTGCCAAGTCTACCACTAAACCATGTCCCTAACCGCCACATCTGCATGTCTTTTAAATACCTCCAGGGACTCAACCACTTCCCGGGCAGCCTGTTCCAATGTTTGACAACCTTTTCCGTGAAGAAATTTTTCCTAACACCCAATCTAAACCACCCCTGGTGCAACTTGACACCATTTCCTCTCGTCCTATCACTTACTACTTGGGAAAAAAGAAAAGACGCATCCCAATTGCCAATAGTGTAGTATTATAGCACTTATCTGAGATACTTATATTCCAACTGTTTGTACTTCCTGATGCACAGCAAAGGACCTGAACCCATACTCCAGGACCATACATATTCTTCGGAAGTGTGCCTCAATGTCACTATCTGAGCATTTAAGCATGAAAATCACTCAATATCACATATTGCAGCTGTTTTACTTTGTACGAGTATTTAAACATTAACTGGGCATTTCTGAGTGAGAAATGACCCCATTGTGCAGATGTAAGGCATCTCCTAGAATGTGGAATGTTAAGATTCAAATCTATGACCTAAAATTAAGAAAATCACCACTTGCAAGTATCACACAGTCATCCAGAATAGGGAAAACTCAGGTAGAAATTCCTGTTCCCTTAGTAGACAACACAGCTTTTAATTAAAAAAAAGAAAAAAAAAAAAAGTTGTTTGAATTCCATCACTGTACAGGAACAGCTTATCTCCCTTGCTGCTGCACTTCTCTGCTCTATTTTTTGGGCAGTCCTCACCTGTTTCAGGGACTACAATGGCCTTTTAAGTGCTCAGGTAAGTACATCAGCTGTGTACATACACAATACATACAGAACTTTCTGCATACAAGAGGCAGAAACACAGGTATTTAGGAGACTGGAACCACTTGAGTTAAGAGCTTGACTAGCAGTTTTGATAATGTCAGTGATGCCTAGATGATGGACCTGAAGCTACTAAAGTCCTTTAAAGACCTGAACGTATGTAGTTGTTTGTGAAAGTCTCCAAATAGAACTCTCAAACAATTTGATATTTCAGATGAAAGAATAATGTCATTCTGTTCGAAGAACCTAGCATGTTAAAGGATGTAATATATTACATTCAGTCAAAGGGAGAAAGCTGATAACTAGTAACAAGATGGCAGCAAACCTCAAGTCAGAGGCAAACTCGGAATGAAATACAGCCATAAGAAAGATCAGTGTGAATTCAAAAGGAGAAAAACAAAACATTGTCTTAGAGGATAATGAAGAAGATGAGCCTCCCCCATGTGCCCCCTTAATTGTACATGAAATACTTAACTACTAGTATCAACACAACTAAACAATGGCAAAGAGCTCCCAGAATAGAAAAGCAGATAATCAGGAAGGGTTTAGAGACTGCCTGAGAAGAAAGAGCTTAGAAATTAACATTGGCTCACATATAAAAATACGTAATTTTATGGGGAAAAAATTACTTGATGCAGCATAATAATTGAAGTAATGGGGTTACAGCAAATGCAAAAGAATTTGGCTGGCACAAACAGGATATACTTTGAGACTCAAATTCATTTTACTATAAACCAGGTGTACATGCAAGGTCGGTGCTTTGTGTGGTGGTTCTCCAGTAAATTACAGAAAAAAAAAAAAAATCTGATGGGGGATTTAAAGGTATTTTCAGTTTCACATATGCTACAACGTAACACTTACCTTCCTCTGAAATTTAGTTGTGAAATGATTATAAGAAGTCACAGAAAGTTATCAGGCTCCCATTTATGATTTTTTTTCCTCTATTAGGCATAACAAATATTTCAAAGTCCAGTTTTTCTTCGACTATATAAACCCTCAGACCTCCAGCACTAGACGCGGCTCAGGTCAGCGGCCTGCGGCAGGGACCGGGAGACCGCAGACAAAGGACAAAGGCGCCGCCGGGACGGCCCGCAGAGCAGCACTAGACCCCGCCGCCCGGCTCCCCGAGCTCCCAAGGGCACCCAGGGCACTCACCCCCTTGCCCAGGCGCCTCTTGATCGCGGAGCCGATCCCCCCCCGCTCCGGCACGCTCATGGCGGGCAAGCCGAGGCGGCGGGCGGCGCGCCCGGCGAGCGGACAAGCGCTCCACCGCACGGCACGCTAGGCCGCGTGCGGCGCTCTCCCTGTTGATTTCTGCTGCTATGGAAACAGCCCCAGCGCAAAACGCATGCGCCAAGCGGCCCAAGGCCGCGCAGGCGCACAGCGTGACGGCGTACTGTACGCGGCGGTCGCCGGCGGCGTTTGCGAGGCCTGAGGCGCAGTGTGGCCGCTTCCTCCTTCCTTCCTTCCTTCCTTCTTTCTTCTTTCCCCGCCGGGCGCTCTGCTGCGCGGCCGGAGGTGCTGCTGTGGGCTCGGCCTGCTTTGTTGGCTGGGGGGGCGGGTGCTGGGGTTGACGGCGGCCCTCGGGCGGCGGCGGGCTGTGACCGCGGTGCCGCTCTGCGCTTCCAGGAGTGCGGCGGGGGAGTGGCGCAGGAAAAGTGTAAAACCTCTCCAGCGTAGCGCATCTGTGCCTTCATCTGATAAACTTTAAAGAAGTGCGCTGGTGTCAGCGGGGCATGTCAGACGTTGCTCTCAGCACCTGGTGTCATTCGAATGCACTGTAAAAATTTTTCTTACTTTTTTTTAATCTAGCAACCATTATTGCTAGTGCCTACAATGCAAATCTTTCCTTGCTAGCAGCATGTTCTGGCAGACACTGATTCCCATAACATCCTTGTTGACAAACTGAGTAAGTACAGACTAGTTAAGTGCGTGGTTAGACAGGCTGAAAACTTGCTGAACTGCTGGAACCAAAGGTTTGTTATCAGTGACATGAAGTCTGGCTGGAGGTCAGTCGCTAGTGGTATACCCAAGGGGTAAATACAGGTGCCAGTACTGTTTAGCTTCTTCATTAATCAGCTGGATGGTGGGCTGGAGGGCAGCCTCCGCAAGTTTGCAGATGATAAAAAACAGGGAGGAGTGGTTGACAGAGCAGATGGTCGTGCTGCTACTCAGAGGGACCCTGTCAGGCTGGAGAAATGGGCCAACAGGAACCTTGTGAACTTCATCACTGGAAAATGCCAAGTCCTGCACCTGGGGTGGAATAATCCCATGCAGCAGTACAGGCTGGCAGCTATCGGGCTAGAAGACAGCTTGGCAGAAAAGGACCTGGAGGTACTGGTGGTTGTCCATGAGCCAGCAAATGTGTTCTTGGAGCAAAGGCAGCGAACATCATCCTGGGCTGCACTAGGAACCTTGCCAGCTCTTTGAGGGAGGCGATCCTTTCCTTTTACTCAGCACTGAGAGACCACACCTGGAGTATCTTGTACAGCTCTGGGCTCCTCAGTATAAGACAGACATGGACATACAGGATTGTGTCCAGCAAAGGGCCACAAAGATGATTAAGGCTTGGAGCATCTCTAGTACAGGAAGAGGCTGAGAGCTAAGATTGTTTAGCCTGGAGAAGGCTCAGGGGATCTTACTAATGTGTTTAAATATCAGGCGGAGCAGGGGGGAAGACAGAGCCAGACTGTTCTGAAATTGAAATTTGTGATGGAATTGAAATTCCATTTAAATGTAAGAAAAAACTTTTTTTACTGTGAGTGTGGTCAAACACTGGAACAGGCTGCACAGAGAGGCTGTGGAGCCTCCGTCCTTGGAGATACTCAAAAGCCACTGAAGGTGGCCCTGCTCTGGTTGACCCTCCTTTGAGGGCTCTTCCAATCTCAACTAAGGTCTGCTTCTGTATGAAATATCCCTGTGTGAATGTTAAAACTTAGAGTAAGGGTGACCTCTGGTGTCATTGTTGATGAGGTAATCGAAATCCAGAAGTGTTCAACTTGGAAAGTGAATGTAGCTGCAGTCTATGAGAAACAGAATTCTTTACCTCTTGCTTCTCAAAGTGAAACACGAAAGCAAGAAAAGAATGAGAAGAAAGTAAAAATTGATATGAATATATTCAGTGAAAATATTTTATTCATAGTTATGACCAAGGGTCAAATACCTCAACTGCTTATATTATTTAAAGGATTTGGTTGCTTGCATATTTATTTTCTCTCCTTTGGAGACTAGTAGAAAGTAAAACAAAGTCTTTGCCATGTAGAATATTTGGGAAAATGAATGTTGCTGAAAGCAAGAGCTGGCCTACATTGGTTCATACTATGGTGTCGTGGTTTAACTTCAGTCGGCAACTGAACCATGCAGCGCCGCTCGCTCACTC